GGTTTGCACACGTGCACTTACGCGGAGTGGGACACTTGCCTACTTCTCGGGGATTTGTATGCATGATGGCATGTGTCCACTGCCTCATTGGGCTGCCAGGAGCCATCTTTGTGCCATAATGCGCACCCGCCTCTGTCCTCCATGCCTTCTTGGACCGATGGGATCCCAATACCTAAGACTATCCACCATCACGACCACCGCAGAAATTTTCTTGTAGCTTAGCAATTCGATAGCTTCTGCAACTTCTTAGGCGCTTGTTGTATGCACACGCGACCTCGCATCCAGTGCCGAAGAGCTTAGTCGAACGTTACCCTTGTCAGGCCAATACAACGCTCTGTGCCACTTCTGACCCTGGCTGAAGCTAAAACGTACCGTTGGTACTGATAGCTATGAACCTCAAAGCTGACCTGCAGTGCGCACTGCAGATCTAGTCCACGGCACAACGCTAAAGCTGCTGTACGAGTTTCTTTCGTCCCCTCGCCAGCTTGTATGCCACCGTCAAACTTGGCAGCTTCCCGTTCTTAACGCAAACGTTCGCTGCGCCTGACACTCTACATAAGTAGACCAGCGATGTGCAAAACGCACAACTAATTCCCCCGTGCACTCACAAGTACGTACGCACCGATACAGTGCTTCAGCTTATGCAGCTTTCTTGCACTGACCACTTCAGTTCTCCGACGGACTCCTCGGCAAGTTACCTTAGCCCAGAATAAATAAATAAATAAATAAATAAATAAACTTTTATTCTCGACAAGGCGAGGCACACATTTACAGGCATGATCATGCTTAGCTAACGTAGTGTGATCAAAAATGTACAAAAAGCACATGTTTGGCATAACAGTGTATGTAAGTGTATGAGTGTATACACGTAGGTAATTTTATATGAATGTAGCTTGTGCCTGAATATGCCGGAGCATTTTTGACTGTTTGCTATCCACAGGAATGTGGGCAAAAGCGATTGATGTCTGCGAGTTGGATAGCGCTTTCCGGATATCCAGCGTGTATGGGTGTATATATGTATGTAATTTGGTATGAATCTATCTTGTAGCTTTGAATATGACGGAGCATTTTTGACTGTTTGTTATCCTCAGGAATGTGAGCATAAGCGATTGATGTCTGTACTAGTGGTCATCAAGAAACCGTGTCCAGCAACAATCTCGTTTGCATTCTTTGAAGCCTGCCCTATAACCTCAACCTGCACAGCGACAAAGCAAAAACCCCCGCAGCCGGATTCCCCCTACACGTCCATCTAACTCCTCTTTTTATCGCTGAGCATTTGCCAAACCAGCCCTAACTACATGCACCTCGGAGGCGCTAGGTGCATTTTACTTCCTTGACTTGGGTACATGTTACCTTTAATTGTACTCGTGTACTATATTCACAAAACATGCCAACGCGCCATAAATGTGTACACCATATTTCTTTTACCAGCATTCATTGCCATACGGAAGCACACCGCCCGAGTTACCGAGGTTCTGCCCTCCCCGATTTGTACGTTCTAAAAAGCAAGTGTCTGGGTAGGCCGCAAAATCTTCTGGCTCACATACCCAATGCGTCAGGCAAAGCATCTTCTCTGCAGGCGACCGCCACTTCCCACTAGCTGTGTGAAAATGGCTTGTCTGATCCGTAAGCTCAACGGTACGGTTTCTCAAAGACGACGTCCGAGGTTTGTCGTTGGACTATGAGCTTCATCACCCTGGACTGGTATGCTGTGGGGATTGACAACTTTCAGTGACACCGTCGAGTCTGCAGAGGAGCAGAAACCTAATGGGCGGTATTGCTGGACTAGCTAGCTTTGCAATCCAACAAGCCCGACCAGACGGTCCACTGATGATGCACTCCGGTCAAAGCCCAAAGATTGGGTAACAAATAACTTAGAAACCTGGACCTAACAAAAGACACCTGCTCGCTCTCTGTCCCATTGTGCCCACTACATATGCTACCCGACCCTCCTGTTCTCACTTTGTCTCACAGCATGCAACCACTATCAAAAGCCTTCTTCATGCAGCCTACTAGGGGAGGCCACTCAGTGAACTTGAATCAATCACGCATAGAACATTTTGGGACGTTATACTTAGTGTTGTTTGTGCCGTCCTACCTACTGATAGTACATATCGATCAAATGCTCTTCCAGTTGATCATGCGGCTTACTGCTGTCTTCTTCTGTTTTCCTACCCATCATCCTTTGTAGCCCTTTACAATAACTCTTGGGTCCGGACAAGCTAACCTCTCTCCTTAATTCTACACCCGGCCCGCCTCTAAGGTGCCACCTTCTGCGAGTAGCATTTGTACAGCGCCCTACATATGATTCTATGCAGCGTGAATAGGTGCGTGACTCAAAAAGAGATTCCAAAATATGGAGTGCTGCTTTACAATTTTTGCATCGTTCGAAAACCGAAACATGCTAATTACCTGACCAAGGTTAATAACAACGATGTCTTCAATCCAAGCTATCAGGTATGAAGCTTGCAAGGTAAAAGGCACGGGAGAAACGGAAGGCAAATATTTCGTAACCGTGAAACTTTTTCAAACATAGCTGATTCTTGGCAATGTGTTCCTCTAATGATATATCTAGTGGGACATATGAAGAAAAATTTGCAATGGGACAGTACGTCTAACTTTTAAACGGCCAAATTTTGAAGGTGCGAGTTGTAAAGTTCCGTTGTAACGGCTATGTAGTACAGCGAATGACCGTACGACATGCCGTTTTGCTCTATTGCTACCGGGTCTCACTCCGTTTCTGTTTGTTGATACAAACTGCGGTTATAAATGGTACAAAAAGACAGGTAATTAACATAGACTGTGAAATGCCTGTCACCTAATTTAGTGTAAACGAAACACTTGCGCACAAATTCGGCAGGAACGTCACGAAAGCTAAATAACTTTTTGCTGTTAGAATAAGAGCTAAGACTAATTGAGATGTTTCAGATATGAACATTATTTTCTAAGATCTATTTTGTGTACCCGCCGTCGGCCACTTGAAGCATCAACTTCTGAGCTTGACGTGGTAACCCATTTTTTGCTTTTACTCTATCTCTATTTATAGCCAAAAGCTCGTGGAAAGTAATGTTTGCTTAAACATCGGGAACAGAGTTTTGCTTGTCAAACTACTCTCAGGTCCAAATAAGACAATGTTCGAACCCCGGCTTCTGGTCAGACACAATGCTAAAACGGTAGTTAGAAAAACTAAGCCACAACCTAATCATCTAACTTCTTCTCCAACCAGAATGCCGGGTACTGCTTTCAGTGACACTGAAGGGCGGATACGATACAATTAACTATCTTGTTATTGGTTTAAAGGCGCTCAAAATAACATAATTATACCCAGCAATACTTTGGAAAATTCATGCCATTAGCTCAACTCTCAGTAAGCTCGCAGACAAATGATGTGCACGAACTGACAAAGGTAGGGATATTTACACACATTGCTAGGCGGTTTGGGAACGCTTTCGTGGTGCTCATAACTTACTGATATTCCATGTATCGGACAACGCCACCTTGAAGTAGGTAAAGCACTCGCCTATCAGTCCCTGCAACGTGACTCACGATACATGCTGATATAACCCTTTTCAACAACCACTAGCGATAAATTTCGCCCCAAAATTCTTACTATACAAAACGAACGGCTTTCTCAGTCCATAATTGAAAAAGCTTCCTTATGGGATTTGAAGCCTATTGTTATCAAGCCAAAAAAGCACTTTTGCTTAAAGCATTTAAGCGATCCACTCTGTTCCGCCTAAGCAAAATATTTGAAGTTACATTCCAAAGTGTACTGTGGGGACTAGATTTTTCACCAAGCATCCCGCAGCTTTTGCCCTCTCCCAACAGGATGTGGTCCAGCTAACACCCATGGACAAACTTTGTTCACCCCAGCGGAGACGCTGGCCCTCTTGGTCGTACAACCTGATGCTGCTGTCGGTCAACATGTGGTCAATGTTAATAAGCTTCACGATGGGGAATATTGTGCTACTAATACAAAACCTCCGACTAAATACTATCTGTTGTCCGCTGTGAACCTATCTAGTAATTAGGACAAGTACTCCACCGGCTACTACGTATCTCTCATGTCGCCATCCAAAAAGGTTGTGTACCATAAAGCTTACCTTTTGCAATTCATATGTTCCGCAGTATCAGTTTAGGGAACATGCCGACACACCTATTCAAAGCACACCCACCGTGCTAATCAACAAGCCCTCATTGCCTAATAGCAAAGCGGCACCATTGAAGGTAACACCAAACGATTATGTGCCACCGTCAAAGACCACGACCACGAACAGACAGGTACCAAAACTCTGAGTCATCCTTGCTTCAGCGTTCAATACCAGCTGCTTATCATACCTACGCCAATATGCTCAGACATGGTCAGGAGCTGCGTACCGCACTTTCCGCATTAAATACAGGCGGTCACGTCAATGCGACGAACAGTACCTCTGCTTTACTTCACCGTCCAATGCTCAAGCAGTCGCAAGTTGAGGTTGTTCAGTTTGATGCTGTCTTTTGCGCACCCCATACATCAATACTAAATGCTACAACGTCCATTGTCCGGACAACTACCAAGAAGTAAAGCTGAAACTCAGTGTGGTTGACCACACCGCAGCCGTTAATTACTTGTTAACCAAGACCCCACTCGTTGCAATCCAGGCTATAACTATCCAGGTAACTCTTCTCCCTATCTCTGTAGTAGCTACATAATAGCGCGCCATGGGCAATGGAAGCGTGCAAAAAGTATGCTGATGTATAACACGAATGCTTTATGAGTACTTTTGTTCGTCGCAATTAGCCGACAATTCAGATATGTCGACCAGCTGTCCGGAAAAGCACCAGACGGCCGTTTCGCCCTATTGGGCGAATAACACCACCTGACGCATAGAAACCTAGACCGCCAAAGAAGACGGGGCTGCCAACCGTGCGTATGCCGTCATTTTCTTAAACACCAATTGGCACAGCCAATCGCCACTATTATTTCGAGAGCATCCACTGGCTTCACGTCACCTCTACAGCTTTTTGTACTTGATGCGAATGCCTCCCAACAGTATGCATCCTACTCCAATATTAATATTGTTGATCCTGACTATTTCGTTGACGCTCCTGACGCCAGTCAACATCAACACCTTACATCCGTGCAGTCAATCTCACAGCACTAGCAACCGCTACCTTCTCATCCTGCTTACTTGCCAGGCTAACAATGCCGCAAGCGCACATCAACACCATGACTGCCACCCAGTTTCATACTTTCCTACATTCCGCTTAACCCTTTTACCCATGATGCTATAGCTTACCACCATAATGCAAACAGATCCCGTATTTCTTCTTGTGGTTAACTGATCAACTCTGCAACGGCGCCGGGTGTGTCAGGCGCATCAGTATGTACTATACTCCCTACTAATATCAGACTGGTAAACCATTTGCCGCTACAAATACTTTCGAACAAAACGCACACCACCAATCTTCCTGAACCCAGACAGTAAACAGGCACCCAAACAACTTACCAGATCTCATCTTATTTACCTAACGCTCTCCACCAAATTCAACCTTAGCTACACCGAAGTCCTGTTCAACGGCTTAGACTTCTAACCATCTGGGGTGGCAACCACCAGACCAAACATCATCATCATCATTGTACACGTCAGCTACAGGTGGTAAACACCTCAGCTACTGTGGCAAGATAATAAGGAAAAGAAAAATAAATACAACAGTTGCATGCCAGCCGAGCTGCCAGCAACGAATAGGCATCGTTCCGGTAAGCTATCAGCCGGCCACTAGGCAAAATAAAAAATAATTATTTTACGCATTGAAATGAGATATTGGGTGGATGGGAGATTAAAGGGATTGGGAGGACAAAGAAACTCACAGCAGGAACGTCACTGAGGTCGGTTCCTTGCCATGTCGGCAGGTGTATCCAGCCAAACATGTTCATTGTCTTTTGAACCCCAACCAGGGTGCCGTGACGCTTCAACCGAGGCCAGCTAACAGACCACACAGTCTGGTACTTCTCAACGCTCAATAAAACGGATGTAAAATACCCCACATCAGCTCACAAATTATATTAAGCACCAAAACATAACACCGCCCGACAGATCCTGTTTTCCCACCCTCTAATATTAGCTAAACGATATTCAGTCGTGGATGCCGCAACCAACCTAGTTGCGGTTGTCTTAGCTATGTATGTGAAGACTTTGGTAACTCGGATGGTGTTCCACGCTCACTAGTGGTCTTCTAAACGCTTGGTCGATCGCTGCTGCAGAGCTCTGTCCTAGTGACCGACACCAAACTCGGCAACCACTGCCTTAGGCTCCTCTCTCAGCTCAAGCTAGCTCTACTTGACGAGCACAAAACCTGACGGAACCGATCGGCCTCTAAGTGCAGGGTTGGGAAATAGCTGCTCCGAAACTATTCACTTTGGATGCGGTCCCATTGACTGAAATGGCATGTCTGCTGCAAAGCGCACTGTAGCCACAATCGAAATAATATGTTGCAATTCAGACACACGGCGAATACCACAAACCAAACTAATGCACTTGGTCAATCTACTTTTGAACAGTTTCTCTTAGGCGACTCAGAAGCCTCAGTATGAACTCAGACGAGTGGGGCTCCTTGAGCTTCGTTGCATTTATGGTGCACCACTTATTTCTAATGCAATAATAGAAGAGCTAACCAAACAATTAACACATGTATTGGCACTGCTTTTACGCTAGCAAATATTTGGAGTTGAATACAACATGCTCCATATCTCTGGGCTTGAGAAGATTACATCTACCCTATATGAGGCCTTGGTAGAGGTCATATAGGTTAGTGTATGTTGTCGACATGTCCACCTTCTAACCAGACATCCCAACAAGCTGAAAATGGTTTACACTCATGGCATCCCCAATGCAGGGGGCACTATATCACCTCACATACCAAATTGTGATAATACAGTGGTTAATCACTATTTTATGCTTCCTGCCCCACAATGCATTGCACAGAGTACTGCAAATTAATTTTGATCATCCAACGGCATCGACAAAGCTAACTGCTTCCTACTAACGCAGTCAGGTTATCGCGACAGCTTCATACTGTATAAGGATGTGAATTCAGCCAGCCGAGGCTTGTACGCGGACATCGACGAACGCCTGGATACGCTGGCCTCATTCGTGCCCAAAAACCGACGGAAGCATGCACAGATTACGGCCACTACACACCGAATGTTAACTAAGCCCAGGACAATGTGTTTCCAATACGGAAGGACAGAAAATTTCTACCTCGTTTTAAAACCGAACGAACCGTTGGGCAAACGGTGTCACAGCATGGGCACAATACAAGAAGCTATGAACGCGCAGCGGTTAATGCAACCAATAAAATAAGTCCCTAATCCAGCTCATGAGGTACAGGGGCACTCACACTTCTATCACCATCACGTTACTGTGACCCCGGACGCTACCAACATCAGAGGGCCTGAAAATCTTTGCACCCTTAATTAAACACTTTTGTGGCTTTTCTCTGAAACCACTTATACTACGTCAACCACCACGCATAAACTCGTCAACCACCACTTGTAAAACATTGTCTTCAAACTGGGGTCCAACACATGAAGCATTCAATCACTCAAAGTATCTTTGTACATTGGCCCTGCACCTTCATACCTGCAGCGCTTATACTTTGAGGCCCCATTTTCAATTCCTGCCTCTTAGCTCGTGTATGCTCTCCACGAGATATGGTACCTTTCCGCCTATTTACAAACACAGCACGGTCATACCCAAACGCAAGCTAGGCAACGGAGAACACCTCGACAGCTATCGTCCGTCGGCCACAAGCTCAGGGCTCAAGGGTGATAAAAATAGCAGTCAACGAAAACCTGCTGAAATCTTTGCTAATTCGCAAACTAATCAGTGGATCACGACATGGATTTCTGTCTTCTAAATCATGCCACGCCTGCCAATTCGAATACTTAACCTGCGTGACAAGATAGACCGGCATCCAACGGGCACTTATCATTATCTTCCTTGATTTGAAAGGGGCCTTTCAGCTAGGACCATATCCAAAACTACTGGTAGAACTATCTGGGTACGGAGTCCCAATGAAACCTGGTTCCGCTCAGGCCTCATATCCAGAACCCAATCAGTGAAGGTAGAGAACCCAGTGGCAGTGAAATGAATAAAGAAATAAATAGTTTATTCTTAAATTTATAGGGACAAACCAAATCGGGCGTGATCAAGGTTTATAGGCAGTTGTGTATCACAACAATACTTCGGGTCCAATCGTGTGTAGTTGAAACGGTCAAGGCACTATAAGTGCAATGAAACGGTGCATGTAGACGGAGAGTATCATGTTCTTGCACGTGTCGGGAAAAGTTGAAATATGAGTCTAGTCGACTTCGCAGTATGTAGCTGTGAGCAGTGAATTTATCCAGTGGCGAGTCACATCCGCCACATCGCAGTGTCGTTAAACAGACATTTATGGCTTTTTATAGGGGAATGCTTGCCAGACGAAAACCCACCACGTCCTGTGCGCTTATTGCAGGGAGCGTTCTAGGCCAGCTACTGTTTCTGGTATGTATAAAATAAGTATTACAAACTTTTGCACATGGTAAATCGTATCTCGTCGCTGACAAGATAAACTTGCGTACACTTTCCAACCGAAGCAAATGCACAAAAGACTTGACAATCTCCTAAACGACTGCAAGGCCAGTGTGAATTGTATCAACATACGCAAACCGGAATTCTCGCCAACTAAATGCAGGGTTGTCTTGTACCTTAGCACGGTAACATCCTACGTCCTATCGATCAGCGGCACACCGTTACTTAACTGATTTACAGTAATAGACCAAAGAATATATTTCTCCAGTTTGCTAAACTTTGCTGGGCAAGTAAGCTACTGTCCAGCGAAGACTCGCTCTCACGCTGACCACCACATCAAGCCTATGACGAGCTTCGACTCCAGACCTGCTCCGCACAAAATTTACGTCCACCCTCTGATCGTATATTGCTTAAAAGTCCACTGCAACTTGCGCAAAGCGACAGTGTAGCACTTTGAAAAGTTCAGCGGGCATTTGCTAAAAGCCTCCTAGATAATCCAGTCATCACTGACCGCCGGCGCTACGTGTGACTTCCACTTGAAGCAATATGGCTCCGAAGGCTAAAATGCAACAGTGTCTTCATGGGTCACTCCATTAGAAAACCCATTGGGTGTGTCACACGCCCCACAAAAATGGAACAGTCGGTATCCTCTCTGCAACATTCCACACAAAATTAACCTATGGTAGCGCTTAGCAATATACGTTCGCCATTTCACCTCTTAGGTATGCATATAGGTGGAATAAGCTAGCCCTAGCTATCAGGGAAGCTGATAGCATGGAAAAAGTTCACTCAAGCGTCAGGCTGCTGAACCTGATCCAACTCGCCTAAAAGTGAGTGGTAGGAAAGAGGACCAGACCGCATATAACGCTGCGCTCTTCCTCTTTAGAGTTACATATAATCAACTCCTCCCAATGCAATGCCTTAGACTCGTCTCCACCTGTGTATACTTACATTTTGTCCCCAGTTCTGTCGATGTCCATTTGCTGCTGATGGGTTTATAGCTGAGGCAATGGTGTCCACAAATCTCTAATCCCCAAATTGATAGCGCTCATTCATCTTAATAATCGTAGCCTTAGTCATCCGCAGTGACAAGGCGTAGGCTCTTTTTCACTCGCTTACACTCACAAGTAGCTTTAGTATTTCGCTTATATCTATAGCTTTGGCATATTTTACCCCTAGGCACCACCTAGCACTACCGCTCCACCAAACTATTGCGGACACTGTAGGTCCAAACTTATGACTGGAGGATTTAATGGGCAGGAAAATGCTGCCCACCTGCGTTCTTCACTCACAGTTTTATTATTTGCACAACGTCGCGGTATAGGCACCTTTCATCGCGCTTTGGATTTCGGCCTCTCATCTCCTAGTTTTTATATAAACAATACAGCTTGCAGCTAAACAGAATGAGGTAGATAGCGTGCTAGCGCTCGAGGTCACCAGCTCTGCTCACTTCCCCCTTTCCGTTTTGAATAGTTTCTCGCTCTGACATTTTCTTCCCTGCCTTACCACAAGATCTACATAGAAGGGTTAAATAACCTACCTTGATCGTCGTAACACGGTCGAGACTGTGAAGGTAAGCCTGGCAGGTT